AGAGCTTAAGAATAACTGATTACGTGGGAGTTGACCATCTACCAGTATATATATAAAAGCCTAAGCCTGTGGTTGGCAAACTGCGGCTTGCGAGCCACATGCGGCTCTTTGGCCCCTTGAGTGTGGCTCTTCCTAAGCCTTAGGAGTACCCTAATTAAGTTAATAACAATGTACTTACCTATATAGTTTAAGTTTAAAAAATTTGGCTCTCAAAAGAAATTTCAATCGTTGTACTGTTGATATTTGGCTCTGTTGACTAATGAGTTTGCCGACCATTGGCCTAAGCGACCTATCAGAGGTCCGCTGGCTTGAGGTCACAGGTGAGATGACTGAGTGAATTCCCAGTTCCTGAGAAGAGACTTCCTCCTGAAGAGAAAAGTTACCACTGTATCCCAGCCAGGAGTTTCAATCGCTCTCTAATCATGCCCCCTAGTTGGTCCAAGCAGTGGGGGCTGATTGCTCAAAGACTTGAAAATTAGTGGATGAAAAGCAGAATCCTTAGAATAACATTTTACCCACATCCAAAAATCAGTTTTCATTCCACACCTCCCACCATCTTCACTTAGGCAACCACACAGGAGCTCTCTGATTATCCCACTGGGTTCTACTGTATGCTCAAAAATTCCTCAAAATCAAATTGTTCTAATCACTTTTACTTAAAGGGAAATGCAGAGACTGCATTCTACAGGATGCTGTTAAAAGGAGAAATACAGCCATAAGCATTGAACAAACAACTGGAAGAAAAAAGAGAGGAAGAAAGGAAGGGGGAGAGGGTGGGAAGGGAATGGACACAGAAAGTTAATGCCCCGAAGGTCTGGGACTTACTGCCTTAGGAAAGAATTACTCGAGAGAGAAAAATGTCTGCCCCTCACTAATTTGGAGGCAAAATGAGAGACATGTACAAAAGCAAAATCGAAGAGGTCCTGTCTCCACACAACTAGGTTTTCTCAAGAGTGAAGGTTAGTGACATGCACAGCTTCAGGAGTTGGTTATTACTAATAGCATTATTGTTATTCTAACGTATTCCAGGTCCTTCTTTAACATCACAAAACTCCCTGACAGTGACTTTTGTCTCTTTGGTCCTTTCTATACCCTTTTGGCCTTTTTTGCATTACAATACACAAGCTCACAATTCTACAATTCCCCCTCCCCCCATGGAAATGTACCCTCTCCCCACTCCCAGAACGGACTAGTGTGATTATTGAATAGGCCTGGGTGCTCTGTGCTTCATCTTTTCTTGCTGTAACTAGACAGCCCTTTTTTATTCTTATGATAACTGGAAAACTTGAACAATCATTGTCCTACCCAGGAGCTGATCTGGGAGCAATTGTGCTCTCTACCGCCCCATCCCCTTTGGGAGCAAGATCCCTTTTTAAAATAATGACTTCTCTAGCAGTTTATTACCAGCCTGGAGTCATTTTCACACCTCAGAAGTGAAGGCTTAATGAGCAGAGAAATTAAAGAGTAAAACTCTGCTAGTGTCTTCTTAAATGGTGGCATTTTGGCATCTCAGGAGAAGATGCACTTGCAAAGGGGGAAACATTGCATTCATCTTGTTCTCCCAATGACCTTTAGGTAATGAACCTCAAAGCTTCCTCCTCCCCACCCGTCAGCTCCACACCTTTCCTTTTCATCTTGGAGGGGATGTCTCCCAGGAAGATCAGCTGTTGAATAGCGGAGTTGTGCTCACAAAATGAATTCACCTAGCAGAGAGTTGAAAATGCAGTGGTGACCCAGTAAGACCTTCCTCATTGCCTGGTGACCACACTCCCAGACCCTCACCCCACGATGACTCCCTACCAAAAGTTGCAAATTCTCAGGCATCTTTTAGAAACACACTCAGAGACAGTATCTCTGGTTCTTATGTTACCGGAGTTAGGGTTCTTGGGTTGCCCAAGATAGAAAGAGAGAAGAAACCCCAGAGAAATTTCCAGACAGATTTTAGTAAGCTTACTAGAGGCCTGATGCAGAAAATTGGTGCAAGAGTAGGCCCTCACATCCCCGGCTGCCTCGGCCCTCGCAACCCCAGCTTCATCCGGAAGGTCGCCCGGAAGGTTGTCCGGATGGTCGTTCTGCTGTCCGGCCGTTGAGTCTATTAGCATATTATTATAGATGTGCAAGCTTAAGGGAGGCAGCACAGAGGAAAGGAAGGTCCTCCAAACTGGCTCCAGGGACTGGCTCTGCTCGGCTGCTTTCATAAACTGGGGGCAAAGCAGCTCACACAAATTGGTGAGCTTTTCGAAAAGGCGGGCTTGTGAAGGGTCAGGTGGGGTTACTTCCTCTTCCTGTCCAGTTGCTTGGCAACTATCTCCGCACCTGGGCTGTGGGTGCAAGATGGTGGTGTGGCTCAGTACCATCACCACAGGAAGGTCCTATAGAAGCCAAACCTTGATCCACTGTGCACGGGGAATGTTGGCTTCAATTTGATCTTAGCCTGGCTTCCTGGCCACCCGGTATGGTTCCATTCTTGGGCCAAAGTCCCTATGATGTCCCATTTATCCTTTCATAACTCTCCCAGTTCGTTACTCCCTCTTCAGTTCTCTTCGTGGTTTTGACAATTATTTGCACATATTATTGTGATTATTGTGGTTTTAATAATCCATGTGCATGTCTATCTGTTCCACTAGGCCTTGAGTTGTGCAAGGACAGTGACAAAACCGTGTTTGTTTTTACATCCCTGGTGCCCACAATGCTTATCAAAAGTAACAACTTAGCAAAATTTGGTGAAGGAATAAATGACTAAATGATTCGAATGATTCTTTTTCAAATGAATGATAGTGTCATAGCCTTTGAATCAAAATAGAGCAATAAGAACCAGTAGGTAGATGTAAGCATTGATTGTGCTCTGCACATGACTGCCAAGTTTAGGTTAGTGAAAAAAAATAATTCACCAGTCCACCTCCAACCTCTAGAACACCGGTTCTCAACCTGTGGGTCGCGACCCCTTTGGGGGTCAAATGACCCTTTCATAGGGGTTGCCTAAGACCATCAGAAAACACATATATAATTACATATTGTTTTTGTGATTAATCACTATGCTTTAATTATGTTCAATTGTAACAATGAAATTGGGGGTCACCACAACATGAGGAACTGTATTAAAGGGTCGCAGCATTAGGAAGGTTGAGAACCACTGCTCTAGAATAAAATTCTCCAACTCACTGCTACAATACAGACGTCCCAGGAAGCATTTATGCAAATCTATTAGCTTCCTACCTGGCCTGAAAAGATAAAAAAACAATCTCATGTTTGGATGGCCCTTTCCTCATAACATCTGTAATCTTTGGGGATCCGTTTCTGGCTAAGGAATCCTCCCTGAGGGTCCGATCCAACTGCCCAGAGTAGGCAAGTCAAATTAATGAAGTAGTAGGATTCAGTCTATCTCAGTGGCTGCTGGAGGAGCATCTGCCTGCCTAATTGCTTATTTTGCTTGGTTGGATTTGAAGCTCTATTGATATCTGAAATCTTTTTCTCATTCTATTAATATCAGTAGTTGGAGTGCTGGAGTTTGATTTCCAATGTTTTCGTTTATTTTCTCTCTCTGGTAGGGAAAGCCAGAGAGGAAACAAATGAAGAGAAAATGGCTGTTGGGTTGAGGGGGAATATTGGTAAGGAAGGGAAATCAGGAAGAGGAGGGTTCTACTCCTGAGAGGACTGGGGAAGGTGGAGACCCCTTACGATGATCAGCAGTCAATGCTATTAATAGACACGGAAAGCATTTCGGTGCCATCTCAGGTTCCACATGTTGTCTGTGGAGGGGGCTTGTTGTCATAAGAGGCCAGAGATTCAGCCCTCCTCTGCAGCAGATATGAGGAATGAGGCTGTTTGCTTTAGAAAAGCCAACGGAATTAGGCTGCTGTTTACTGTTTCATAAAGGAATAGTGGACAAATTACCTACCCAGACCATATTGGGTGGAATTGTTAGTTAAAAGTGACAACCAGGCCTGTAATTTACACTGCAGTTTGGAAATTTAAGCTGGGAGGCTCGGAGCTCTCAATCGTGTATTATAAAGCTCCTTTTGTACTTCGGGCTCATTTTGTGCTGGGGAATCATTTAGCCATTGACTCTAACTGCTAATACTGTTCCATCAAATACCAAGTATAAATCAAAATTACTGCATCATTCAAACTCTGTCCTCGGAGTTGTTTACACGTATTTTTTCCACCATTACTTCAGTATAGTTATAAGAGAAGCCGCTAAATGATGATATATTGTGCATGCCTTGTTCTGATCCTACTAGAGCCTCTTGCAAATAACATGTAATCCATGACAAATTATTTTTCTAGTTATACAAAACATAAATAATGATAATAAAAAGGGAATTAAATTGATGAAAGATGTGGGGGAGAGAGAGAGAGAGAGAGAGGAGAGAGAAATGTTTCAAATACATAGCTCTTCTCTTGGTCTTGGCTGTCCAAAACAGGTGGGAAGACAAAGGAGGAATTTTTAAAGTAGCTTTGCTACATTTTGTCTAGTCCAACCTAGGAAAAGAGTGATAGAAAACTCACTGGTCACATATGTAACTTTTTGTTCGAAGCCAGATCTACTAACTTTTAACCTTATATATAGAAGCTCCATTCATTTGCAAAATCGTTCCACCCAAAGAAATATTTGGTGTGTACAAATCATCATGGATCATGAAGGCAACCGTGGGAGATGTCCAACCTAGTGAATCCATTTTTGTTAATATCCATTATATGTCAATAGACCCCAGATGAGAAAAATCACTGGTGTCTTCAGTCTGCCATCCTGCCTGAATCTTTGTTTTCTGGCTTTTTAAACTGTACTTCAGAACAAAGAATAAGTGGGTAAATGAATCAGCAATGGATTTATGTATAGTAGATTAAGGAATATTATGGCAGGAAGAGATTGCTAATGTCTTAGCATTATCTTTCTGCCTTTTCCCCCATTTACCTCTAAAATTTCTATCAGTCATACATGGATAATGGTGAAATCTACCTACAAATGTTAACAATTCCTTGTTAATTGAAGGACTTACCCTCCCGTCTTCAACTTAAACCATCATTTTCTTCCCTTGTGCCATACGTATTGCAGATATGTGTGATACTGAAAGACATAAAGCAACAAATCAAAAAAAATCCTATCTCAAGCCATAATGGTCATTAATCTTATATTAACACAGCAAAATAAAAGATTTTTTGGAGTGGGCATTTATCAAATTATACTTTCCCCTGACTGGTACTACAATGCAAACATAAAGCTGATAGATGAGGTGCTAATTTCACTGTCTAAAAGGAGCTTCAACAAGGGCCATTAGAAATTATATCATAATAACAAGACATTCTTTTTCAGATTCCAGAATTTAAAAAACATCTGTTTTTGAAGGAGGTTTCAGAACCTGCTGTGAGTCTCGAAAATTTGGATTGTCACTGCTGTATCCTCCTCGGCATCAATAATCGGCTGCTACCTCAGGATGTTGGCTGTCTAGGGCCCCAGCTCCAATCAGCAAAGCAGTTTAGAAATCCAGAGAGAGAAGAACCTTTGTAATTAAGAGTGTTCTGCCCATTTATAGAATCAAGTTTTCCAGAAATGCAGCTTAGTATAAACCAGGTTTCATGAACATTTCAACATAATATAACAAACACACGCTTTTCAATGAAGCAGATAGCAGAGCGATTTGTTCTAGCAGATGGTTGCAGAGCAATTATCTCCCTACTCGACACACAGGGGTAGCAGAAGATTCAACAATTGACTACTCAAAGCCACTAAGCGATGCAAGCGAATTTCTGAGATATTAAAACAAGCAGGGTTTGCATCCTCCACTCTCCACAAGCAAGTCCTGGAGAATGTTCTAAAAAATAACAGATGATGGCTTTGCTGTATGTGCATGTTCCTCCTGCTGATTTATCTCAAAGAACTAGATTCAAAAGATGGAAGGACTCAGAAGATTGCTCACCGTTCCACCACCTGATTGGGCCTCTTGTGACTTTGCCTAGGAAAATGACTCTTCTTCCCTCTTTGATCTTTCCTCTATGACAGCGGTTCTCAACCTGTGGGTCGCGACCCCTTTGGTGGTCGACCGACCCTTTCACAGGGGTCGCCTAAGACCATCGGGAAACACATATATAATTACATATTGTTTTTGTGATTAATCACTATGCTTTAATTATGTTCAATTGTAACAATGAAATTGGGGGTCACCACAACATGAGGAACTGTATTAAAGGGTCACGGCAGCTCTATGACATCCTGAATCTATGGGCCAGTCAGGTTGCCCTAGCTAAAACAGATCAACAATCCCCAAAATAAAGTTTGCGATTTATACTTTAAGTGGTGAAGAGATTGATTGATTCGTTCTTTTCTGATATGCAACTACAGAATAGAAAGCCAGTGTACTGAAGCCAGCTTAAAAAAACAAAAACAAAACATGTTTACTGGGGAAAAATGGTTGAATACATACACAAACAAAAATATTTTTATCTAGTCACCTGAGCAATAAGTACTTCAATCAGTTCCCTTGAGTTGTGATCAAATAACCCCAAATTTTTTATATTTGCCTAATTTTGGCAGAAGAAATTATGATGTAAATATGAAATTAAATATGTTATAAATGGGCTCAATTACTTCTGTATACACAAGTAAAACAAATGCTAGAAATAAAAAATAATAAATAAACAAGCAAAAAACAGTTGGCAATAGAGGGTTGGAGGTTGGGGGAAATTATAAATCAGGCTACTATACATATTTGAGAGTTATAGGAAAACACCCATTTAAGAAAGACTTTTGAAATCAAGAGATGGTCATAGAATTTATGACTTGGCAGCAAAAAATAAAAAAAAAAATTAAGATAGTAAGCAATAAAAAACCAAGGGAGCAGGACACTCAAAATGTTGAAGCCTGCCTGGATTACAGAAGTCTTGTAGAATCCAGCCAGAAACTAGACATGCCAGCTACCTTTGTTGCAGCAGGAATTAATGGGCCAGATTTCCCAGACACAAGTGGGGTGCTGCTGAAATAAGCATGTTCAGAAGCCCACAGAGGAAGATAAGAAAGGTTTTATTTGCATGGAGTTACATTCCTTAGGTTCCAAAGTTCCATGTCCCTTAAGTCAGTCCTGAAAAAGGTGCAGCTGGGGTTCCAGCAGAGCCAAAAGCAAGGCCAGTGTCCGGGTGCCGTACCATGTTGCAGCTGGGGTCCAGTTCAGCATTCAGGCTAATTAAAAGTCCATGAGTCCATTGTGTGGGTCCCACGTGGCTGTGATCCACGTGGGAGCAAGTCCCCAGAGGGCCAGAGGGCCAAAGGCCAAGAGAGAAGAGAGTATACTCTTTTGTCAAGTTTAGATATTTAGGTTTCACACACTTGCAGTGGCCACACCTAGCCTGGCCACTAATTTTTTCCTAGGTGTGACTGACAGACAGGTAGGCACCTTTCCACATCACTCAGACCTTACTGGGCATGTGTCTAAACTGCCATTGTCCAGTCCCTTCCCCCATCAATCAGTGGGGAACAGACTTGGAGAGGGTAAAATGCAAAGCTGTATAAATGGCATGGTTATATTATCTAGTTTTCCCTCTGCTTCTTTCCTGTTAAGTGATAACCAGATTATTATAATAGTATCACCTTCATTCTCATGGCAATAGCAAAAAGGTGGCATATACTTTGGAGTAGAGGTAAAAGTCAAGGAGGAATTAAGAGATAAGACATACTAGAGGCTATCCTGAATCCTGAGCAGGACCGTCAGCAGTCTTTTTGAATTCACTGACTCCTGAAGTCTATAAATCACTACCAGGTATGATCTTCTGCCCTAAGATGAATGAAGTAGCTTCTTATGCCCCATGGTTGACTGAATAGGCCTTGTGTGCTTTCTCAGTTTAGGAGGAAGGTATCAGAGATGTATATAAGGAAAGTGGGGCCGGGCATGAGAGCTCTCTGGGCCTTAGAGATGAAGTAAATGTTATGACCTCAGACAGGCTAGTTTCTGAAACAGTGCTTCTACTGGCTTCTACTCGGAGCAATTTGAGGTCTCTGTGTCCACCCTGGTCCCAATGTGAAAACTAAGAACAAGAATAATAACAAGAAACAACAATTTTACTTTAAACAATTGTTTAAAACACTTAGACACCAACTGTCAAACACTGAAAATATTCAATTTGATACTCATTACGCTCTGAGAAACAGGTCTTATTACTCCCATTTTTCATGTGACGAAACTGAGGCTATTTTATTTTTTGGATTGCAAACTGAAACTCTTATCTTTTTACTATATTTTATTATTTAAACCAAGGACCATTCTGTGACTATTAGATCACTTAGAAAGAACTTTTGCCTTTCCATGATTAAACTTTATTTACTAGTAAGCTCTAGTAATTTAAGAGATTGAGATATAGGTAATGGGATGGAAATGAAGAGAGGAGAAGGAAAGAAGGTGTCCACCCACCTCTGGTGATTACATTGAACAGATAAGTAGGTTTATGGTCAAGAGGATGTTATTGACCCTGTGGCAATAGCAACAATAAAGAAAACACCATCAGCAACAACAAAACGTATTTGTAGGAGGGGGGCCTGCTCAGTGGTATTTATTGTTCTAAATGCGTAATGTAAATCATTGAATAAATTACTCATTCACTCTAAATCACTTAATAAATTACTCATTCACAAGAATTAATGAAGCATTCTCATACAATTTTCATTTCTATGTTCTTTTCTTTTGTCAAGATAGTCACAGCTGTGCAGAATTTACTATGTAATCAAATACCAGTAATTTATTTTTTTAGAACAAACATGTTGATGGTTGTAGAGGTATGAACCAGTTTGTAGTACAAAACTAGAAATCTTGAATTGAATTGGAACCTGCCCTATTTTCTACTTTTAAATTCCATTATTTAGAGTAATCCCTATACCGATTCTAAAAGGGCTCAGGTGGCCCTGATCTAAGCTGAAGTAATGCCATCTTATTTAATGATTTCAAAAGCATCAGGCATTAGCTTTTCTTGCCAACTCACTAACCCTCTTCTTCATAATGATATTGGTTTAAAAAGTACAACAGATGTGTAACAGCTGGCTCATGAACTTCAACATCTCAGCCATTTCTTGGCACCACTATCAATGTTTTTCCCCAAATACCAATCCTAATTGCTAGTGTTGTGCAATTCTGGGGTTTGAAGTCTTAAATACACTACCTAGTTATTGATTTTCAAATTATATGATTTTACACAATAGGTAGTTAGGTACTTATAATTTAGCATTGCTTGATTTTCTATGAGTACAACTTGCAGGTTACAGGCGTTTTTCCTAATTAGTAAGCCTGCAAAGAGTCATTTTTTTCCCTAAGTTTTATCTGACAGTATAATTTTTTATGGTTGAGTTGTAAAACCTTTGAAAATAGAATTCTATAATAGAAAGTGACAAATCCTTGCTCAGTTTAACCATCTGCCTTTAATAAGTACATGTTCCTTTCCCCCTGCAAACCCTGACATTTTCTTCCCAGGATCCAAGGTCAATCAATCAGAGAAGGAGAGACGATAATTAAAAAGAGACAGTTAGTAAATCAGCACTGTGAAAATAGTTATAAATGAAGTGTGTGTATCTCTGAGAAACAGCACCGTTGGAACCTTGCTTTCAGGCATGCTTTCCTTCTATTTGCTACTGTCTTCATACATCGCTCTCCCACATCTGAAGTCCATGGTAGGCTTTTTTTAGGACCACGGACAGGGACACACAAAGGAGGCAAACTCCTCCCTGCATACGGCAACATTGAACGTTGAGAACTTTGAATGACAATGACATGCATTCATCTTAATTTGGGGGGGCCATATGGTTTGAAGGAGTTGCTGGGATTTTACAATTCAATGAAGATCGATATTGTCCAGAAGGCTGAAGCCTTCAGGCAGACCAAGAGTAAATGTGCCTATCCAATAGACAAAATATATTTTTTAAATCATGAAGTCACCAGATCTGCTAATAATTAAGTTGTATTAATTCAATAATTTTGCATTTTAGAAGCAGAGTGCCAGGATCCATCAACATTAGATTTCTGCCTTGTTCCCTAGGGGAGACTGATTGAGCTCAGACCAGCATCATCTGTTACTGTTTTGTAATTGGATTTG